ATAGTTTTTCATTCTGAACAAAACTTCTTAGTAACACTTTCACGTACTGTAAACAGAAAAGGTACTTTACCTGCCACAAAAAGAGTTTTTCTTTCACTGTCAAGGCTCACTTGTTTTTAAAAAATTGAAAATATGTTTAAAATTTGTCTTTAATCAAGCAGGGCTAAACCCCAAAAAATGACAATTAATATCGAAAAAAGTTTACCTCACTTATAAAGAATTTCGTTTTGAAAAGAAATCACCACAAAATAAGTCACCAAATTTCTTATAAAATCTATTAGGATTTAATAAATGCAGTTTGTATTTTAACATTTGGGTGTATGTATGATAACAATTTATTTTATGAATAAAAAAATAAATTAAAATACATAAGTAAAATTTCTCCTAGAAATTACTACCACCTTTCAACATCATAAAGCAAGTTTGGGTAGGTTTATAATTCATAAGGATGCTTTTACGATGGCTGTTGCTTAGAGGTCACAGAGAAGTAACTCGGAGGCTTTTGTCTGCGAACTTGAATCGCAACTGTAGACAACTCCCAACCGTGGATAAAGTAATACAGACGGAAGACTTTAATTTAGATTTGTGCGGATCCCAAGATCGTATGAAAAACAGATTTATTCACTTTTAATTTGACTCAAATGGTATGCTTTCGAATACTTGTTCACTTTTATATCTATTATTTTAACTCATTTTTGTTTGTCATCATTGCAGATCATGAAGTTTCTCTTAGTTTTAATTTCTCCGTTTTTAATTATCTTAAGTATTCTCACGCTCTTTGATGTTCATACTCCAACAAAAACCTTAAGGGTACGCGGGAATCCTATACTATACCATGGAACGAACACAATAAAAGAGATGCAAAGGATTTATGCAAAAATATATTACTAAATATGAGCGAATAAAGGCAATATTATAAATGTGTAAAACATTAACTGGGTGGAGTTGTAGAAACTTTCTTTAGCAAACGTACGATCGATTAGTATTTTGCCGGTGTTGCTTAAGGCGTTCGAGAAATTCGTATGTGAGTAATTAGGGCAATTTGTAGAAATGAATTGTTGCTTGAAATGCAATCTGGCTTTGGGTCGGATTATTGTTGCATTTTCGCGCTGCTGAACATCGTAGTCAACATCCTGAGGACATACGATACTATGTGGTAGATATTTGGTAACTTTTTGCTACTTCACTGATTTACCCATTTTCAACATTATATTTATGTTGCTTGTTCCTGGAACTTGTATCTCAAAGTTTCTGGTTGTTCCTTATTGTGTTATTGTGCCTAGCAGAATTTACAAGAAATGGCGAAAATAAGCCGAACCTCAGTATCACAGGAGAAGCAAAACCAGCAAAAACAGACGAAGCGTCATAATAAGTCATAAGGCTTTCGATAAGATGAAGAAGAAGATCTAGAAGCACAGATTAATTAAGGATAAGTCTGAAACAGTATCATAAACGGGTAAGACACAATTTAAGTACAACTTAAACTTTAATGCAATAAAGCTTACATTGATAAAAGCCAAAGCCACTTTGCCGATTGCCTGTCATAGAGGTTAAGGTAGAGTACTTTAATTCCAAGGTTCTTGACCTTTATGACAGGCATGCTCCGGGGAGGCGGTGGAGAGTTGGACACATGCCGGCACCTTGGCTAAATGATGGTGCTGAGTTATTGTTCAAACGTAGCCCTTCTGCTACCAATCGGGAACACTGTCGTGTGTTGCGCAACCGTTGTAATCATCGATGCAAAAACGCTAAAAGATTGCATTACTGTCAGAGGTTGTCTGGAGCCACTCATAAGACATTTTGGAAAACAATGCGATCACTTAGTGTTATAGAGTCTCTCACAGGTCAACCCACTCTTGATGCTGCTGCTCTAGCGGAGTATTTTGCAGATCCTCCTGTGGTGGTTGGTAATATAACTAGGCAGAATACTATTAATGAAATTCTTGCATCTACCATCTTTCCTTTTCATTCAGCTTGATTTTAGTAAGTCCTTTGATTCTGTGGACCATGCCCTCCTGTTAACTAGGCTTTCTGCTATTGGTTTTACCTCTTCTTGTGTATCTTGATTCCAGCCCTACCTTTCCTATCGGTCTTTACGTGTCTGTGTGGAATCTGTACTCTCTTCTCCTGTTGACATCAAATGTGGAGTTCCCCAGGGCAGTGTGCTGGGACCTTTACTGTTCTCAATTTTTATAAATAGTATTAGTGATGGTATCTCGTGTAACTATCATTTGTATGCAGATGATCTTCAACTTTATATTTCATCAACTGTTAACAACCTCCCAGATGCTTTGTTGCATCTTAACAACGATTTCTCTAGCGTACTTCACTGGTCTAGACGTCATGGACTTAACTCGAATCCAGGTGAAACGCAAGCCATTGCATTTGGCACTCGCCCTTTGCTGGCACAATTTAATTCCTTAACTATCCTTTAACTGAGGCTTGGCGACACCGTTATTCTGTTTTTTAATACGGTCAAAAATCTTGGTGTAATGGATTGGGCGATATCTTCTAGGCCACAAATTCAGAGAGTCTGTAAGAGGGTTTACTTCTATTTCCATACTTTGAAAAAACTTCGCTGCTACCTTCCTCCTGTTGTTCCCAAATTGATTATGCCAATGCTGCGTATCCCGATCTGTCCGCAGCCCTTCGGGGTAAATTGGAAAAACTTCAGAACAATTGTATATTGTACATTTTTGATTTAGGAAAGTTTCAGCACATTACTCCATATCGTAACAACCTGAAGATGATGACTTGCCAGAGTCGTAGATCATTTCGTATGCTTACTATGTTGTACAAAATTATCCATACCCACACTCCTGCTTATTTGTCTGATGCCTTTCACTTTTTAGCATTACATGACTTGCCCACTCCATCAATGTCGGACTCTACACTCATGCTTCTAGTCCACAGTACAGAAATCTACCACAGATATTTTACAGTACAATACAATACAGCTAGTTTAATAAGTTTTAAAAATGCCTTGAGGCGCCATCTGCTATCTCTTCAACTATCTTCTTCTTGACCTATACTTGTTTGTTTTCTTCTCTAGTCTGCCTTTCATCTATCTTTTGCTGCACTTTTTTGTGTCTATATCCTTCCTTGTAGTAACTGACTGTCGATCCGTTACATAATTCAAATATGCTCATTCGCTCAGTTTTATTAGCACATCATTTAGTATTACTTTTTTGGTAGCCATAATTATTTGTTTAAAATTACATATACAGTGTTATCAGTTGGGTCTCTTGGAAGATATCGCTTATTGCGATAAATTGATCCGTTTGTCTTGATGTCTATATTTGTTACGAATCTATAATATATATTTATGTAAATATTTGTTTTTGAGGCGATAAACATTATTATTATTATAAAATCATTCTTTTTAATAGACACTTTGTAAAACAGATGTTGACTGGGATTGAATGGGTTAAATTTTCCAACATTCATCGAATGTTAAATATAAAACTTCAGCTAATCATAAATCAGGAATGCTCGATCAACTTCAAGTTAAATGTTAATCAATTTGATAAACATTTTTAAACTAATCGATTTGTTGAATTGATACTTTGTTTTAATGCTCAAAAAGTACAAGGTATAACTCACTGACAGAATAATACATAAGAATTGTTTTCTGGAACTTTAGTATACAAGAAACAATACAAGAAATAACAAATTTATGCAATATTATTTAAGTTAGTTTCGACTTATTTACATTCTCTATTAATTACAAATTCCATAAATTTAAAATGAAGATACGAAATAATGAAATGGCCATGATTATTAATTAAATAAAAATGTAGTTGCAAAAGTAGCGGAGCACGAAACGAAATTGTTGACGTGATAATAATAAAATTTTTAGACGAAACTTGAAACTTGCTCGAAGAACAAGACGAAAAATTACCCATCTTTTTCAAATATTAATCTCTTAACTTTGTCTAAAACGTATTTTTAAAAAAGTTAGTTATATTACAGTGGGCTAAAAACATACAGCATTTTATCTACGACTGCTAAAAACTACTTAAAAATCAATTTCTTTAAAAAAGGTCTTTGAAATGATTGTTGACAATTTTGAATTAATGTAAGTTTCAATACCATGATTACTTTCTGTAATCTGGTCTCTATTAATCTGGAATAAGTGTTTCGAAATGTAAAAACATAACAATTAATGTTTATAATAAATAGTATTGTTTCTCTTTAAATAGGTAGCACTTTTTCTTTTGTATTGTTGCTCGTTTCAATAAATTAAGTCTGTTCTGATTGGGTTAAAAATGCGTTACGTAATGATACCAGTGCGGTAATGCACTTCATTACGTAACTCAAAAGAGTGTGGTAATGATGACTTATTGAAGCAGTCGTAGATAAAATATCTTTATTAAATCAATTAATTAAAATGATATATCAACAAAATGAGTTAAAAAGATTCATATTTAGATCGATTGAGGTTTATAGAGGCAAACGAAAAGAAATGACGTATAGTGTTTCTTGTACCGGATTTATTGTGTTGTGTTATTTTGTACTTATCCCGCTATCGGAGCGTGTTTACTGCCTTCGTTCCCATTTATCAACGAAACAGTTGTTCAGAATTTCCGTTCTGAAAAGGAAGCAAGTTTTACGAAGCAGGATGCTTTTATTCATAATTTTATACGCCTCTTTCCCTCTCAATCTCCACCCAACCTTATTTAATTTAAGGATAACCTTGCAACATTATTATTAATACAGCCCTTCCTGTTAAGCAGGGCAACAGAAACCGTCGAGTTTGGGGTTGGATGTCGTAACGTATCACAACATCCCCATCGAGCTTCACCGAAATTTATGCGCAACGGCGACTAATTACCGCGAGAGGGCGCCGTCGGTCGGCTAAGTGACGTCATTAAGTCATTTCGGTTGCATAAACACTGAACTTGGGGGGTGTTTACGCAAAATATTACAGTTCGGGTAAAGTTTTGGGGGGTGTCCCGGACATGCCCGAGGCGTCGAGGCGGGACGCGAAGCGTCGGGACGCTATCCGGCGACAGTCGTCTGTCGGTCGTCCGATAATCCAGACGGAGGAAGCGTCGCCGTCGCGCTCTTCCCCCACGTTTTTGTCGCACGTTTTTGCCTTACGGTAAAAACACACAATCGAACGGAAGCAATAAGACAAAAACGAAACCTCCGATAAAACACTTCTTTCGACGAACGCGACGTTAACAATGTTACCACCACGTTCGAATAGACGTCGGTAGAAAAACAACGATTTCTTATAGTAACACAAAATCGAGATGAAGACATCACAATTAAAGTCGTTCATTGGATTGGCGTTTATCGCGAGAGGTCAGTATTATTATAACGATAAAGGTGTTTTAATTTTTAAAAGACAAATCAAGATCGTAAAGTAGTTGTTTCGCAATTCAAATTGAACGGATGCGCTGGGTAGTTTTAACGGCGCTCCGGGAGAGGGTTGTTTTACAATTTTAAACCTTGGTATGTTTCTTGAGTTTTCGTCGAGTTAATTCAAAACGAATTAAGTTTAAAGAAGTTTAAAGTTTGTTTCGAATCCAGTAAATTTAGAATTTAGTAATTTCATTGGATAGTTAGAAGTTTTCCTTCGTAACTTTTTTTTTTGTAATTGTACTAGAATTCCTCTGACATAAAATCTTAGCGATACAATTGTTAAAGTACAATATCTCAAATTTATTAATGACCTTTGTCCAGTTGACATCTTATCTCCTATGTTAACCACAAGTTTATCAATTAAGTCCAAGGTTGTTCGGTTGTAAATGTCACCACTAAAATACACCAAACGCGTTAACACGAATTTGAACGGAGAAGTTCTGTTAGTGCATCGTGAACAAAGAAGAACAGTTGTAGTTGGTATTCTTTTATTGTAGGGAGTATAGATAATGTGAAAAAGAAATCGTGCCCCCAGCTATCGCGTAACAAGAAATTGATAGTCAAAAGTTACACAACATTTGTAGGGTTTTACAATTACTTTTGAAATGATTTTCGTCGTGTATTCTTCAAGTTTCTGGTTTTATATTTCACATATTTAAAACATAAAACTTTTGAAATCTAATTTCATTTATATAAAATTATATAGTAGTAATAATGAAATGAAAATCGGTGCAAAGAAATATTGACTTATTTCGGTTAAAACTTTTTTGGGCAATTTATTCTTATAAAAAGCTTTTACTGGAGTTTGAACGACTCTGCTATATTCGGGCATTCATTTGCTCATTCGACCATTAAATTCGTCGTCGAATTTTTCCCTTCTTGTACATAATACATCATTTACTCCTTTACCACACCAATCTATCTACGATGACAGGATGACATCTTACATAAACCATATTCGTCTATCAACATCAATGATTTACTATTTATCCATTATATACAAGTTGTAATTTATTCCCTGTATATGTAATCCCATCTTAAGCAATCTGCAATATTAATTACTCCTTTTCTGTTAATTATTATCATTTTTTATAAATTTTGTTGTTAATCCTTGCTGATATTATGTTTCTAACGTGGTAATTCTTGGGTTTATCTTAAATATGGTTTGAAGGGTCTTCATTAACATTTAGATAGAGGAGAGTGCAGAGTTTAAGACACTACAGAATAATTAAAAACGACACCATCATCCTCCTAGATCCCACTAAATTATCGCAAGTTTATATTTATAAAGTAAAACTAAATAAACTAAGAAATTATTTAAAGGACGCTAAAACTGGATTAAGTTTTTTAATAGGGCTTTTTAGATATCCATTCGATTCAATTTAACCTTAATAATTGTTAATCCTTATAATACAAAGGGGTCATTTGAGACCACAAGATTAATTTAATTTTTTTTTTGGGTTAAAATAATAATAATGTAGGTTATTAAAGAGATAGTAACCAATACACAATAATGAACTCCTTTGTAATAGACAAGATTGCTTGTGCCCGCGGCTTTACAATCTGTGTTGTTAAGAGATGGGTATCAAGACGACACAACCTCTTTATCAAAAATTATTATGTAGGAAATTTTCGAGCTCGCTTGCTTCCGACGTTTTACAATCAACGTTATTAAAGAGATAGCACCAAATACACAATAACTCACTCCATTAAAGAGATAATAGTCGAGGTCGTTTGAGGCCGAGGTTCTACAACCGAGGTTGTCAAAAATATCAAAATTATCAAAAAGAGTTACCTAGGAAATAGGCGAGGTGTTACAATATAGGTTGTTACAAAGATTCAATTACATTAAACTCCATTAAAGAGGTTGCTTGAGTTTGAGTTAAAGTGATAGCAACCGAGACATCCCAGTCTACTTCGTTACTAAGATAGTAACGAGGCTCACTTATATACAAGGCGCTAAAAAGTAGATTGTTAAAGAGATGAGGCACCACAATGTACCATTTGCACATTATTAGTACACTACGAGAAGTTGATGGGCCTTTCAAGTCTTTGTTTCTAATTCTGCTGTATGTTAGTATGTTTATCATAATCACTGCTAGGAGTTTTGACAGGGTTTTAACATCAGCTGGTGTAATCTGGTTATCTGGAAAGATACAAGTTATATTCCAGAATCACAGGAGGTACTCTCTCAAATCTTTTTGCCATAAAATTGTTAGCTTTACTGAACCTATATGGCAGACCATATTTTTCTGCAACGTAGTTTTGATTTCAGTGGTTATTAACCCAGAAAAACATTCCGCAAGATGTTCCCACCTAGTTCCTTTACTTTATTCTGAACGAAGTTTTTTCATTAGTATGTCTTTTGATAGTTGCTTTTGGTACTCCGAATACAAGTCTGCATCACTTAAACCTAAATTTTCTGGTTTGTTTAAGCACTGAAACATTCCAGCTCAAAACAGAAACCTCCTTTCTAACCCTATCAAATTGCTTAGATACTTTATGATTCATTGAATATCGTGGTGGTCCAAATTAGGCAAAGTTTCCCTATATTATTTCTAATCCAGGAAAGTATGAGATAAAGATTTGAGGTGAATTCTCGATAATATCACTCGTGTGCTTATAATTGCTAAATATACATCGGCGTTGGGTATTATAGAAAGTTTGAAAAGATCAGGGAGAAATGTGACAAATAATAATCTTTTTACAAGCCTTGATTTCTAGAGAAAATAACAAATAGCAAAAATATCTTGGAGTTTCCTCGAAAATTGGTCATCACGCTGGAGAGGATTCGTTAAATTTTGTTACCAAGATAAAGCCATGTTTCTATCCTACTGTCTAAATACTCCTACTGAATTAAATATTCACAGTAAAACTGTACTAGTGTCTCCTATACAAGAATGTTGGGTCTTCATTAGTAACAAAAACATACCAGGTTTCTTGTATACAACATACATAAATGAATTCAAAACGTTATCAACTAATTAGGTTTATTTGAGCTAAGAAATAATTTAAACTACTCCAAGATTAAGTTTTTATCATTCGCAATATTATTTTAACACATATTTTTGAAATTACTAAGAAATGAATGAAAACCGAAAAAAATACAACATTATTTTTGTTGCAACGTAAACCGGTGCTGAACCCATATTATATTTTTTTAAACGAACCGGAATGAGAATCGAAACGAAAAGAAAAACAGTTCGAAGCCTTATCTAATTTTTTTTAGGAAAACTTACATAGTATCACAAATTTATACTGAAATAAAAAAGTGGTTGACCTAATTTGATTGGAGACAAAAATATCCTTCAATGGCTTAGATATTTTTTTTTAGAAGAGAATCTTATTTCCGCAGATGCAATTCTTACTACTAGCACACAAATTAATTTAAGTGCTACGTGAATGTTGTGATATATGTCCAGTTTTCAGACTGCCAAAGCTTCGAGGATTGCGTCAGGAAGGTCTCCATTCTGTTTGTGTTTCCAAACTTCTCCGTCAAGAGTATCTGGCATGAATTCTTATTGAACTTGATGTTTGACAAACAAAATGTTTATTTAAGGTCTTCATCGTTTGTGCTAGCGTGAAGTTGATATCAGGAAATGTAAAAAGTTTTGAGTTTTCAAAATTCATGTTCTGAAGCAAACAACCAAAATTACGGTAGTTGCCTTAATTACTTTAAAGCATCATTCAGCATGTTTTCTAATTTGCAAAAAAGTGCGTCAAAAATTTGACATAAAAAATATCTGCTGTTTAAGTATTTTGGGAAAAGATTGGCCAATATGATGATCATCAAAGAAAATTTGTAATTAACTTCTTTTACTTCCTACAGAGTATATAGTATTGTATTAGAAAAGTAAATGAAAAGAAAAACTCATTCAAAAAACATGAATTATTAGTTATCCAATTAATTCCATAATTCGTTGTTGTACTTCGTCACCGTTTTATTTTAAGCCTCAATTGCAGCGCGGCCTGGACAACTATCTCCCTAACTCAATCAAAATTAAACTTTGCGGGTTCAGTATGCCACGGCCACTTTTATACCAAGGTCCCAGTAGGATTGTTTCATTACTAACACAGTACAACATTCACGGGTTCAACACTCGTATATTCACGTTTTAAACTTTGTTGTCTTTTTCAACATCCACGTTTTGATTATTTGCGAAATTCCTGTGTCCATGAATGAAAACCCTTTCACTTCCAAATAAATTTGTTTCCTGACTTTTATTGCCTACGTTTTATTTTTAATGGTCTTTAACGCAAAAGCTCTCACAAATTATCTCACAAACCATTAAAGATAAAACTTCGTGTCGTCGATATACAATAGTAATTTTGTATGTTATGGTCATAAAGTATATCAAGTCAAGAGATATTGTAGCCAAAATACTGTAATTGAGACTTCCAAAACTTAATACATCTAGATGACATTAATTACGCTATACTGCATTTCATAGTTTTGGAATAATGACTAAGATGATCATAATGGTAAATGTTAGTGGAAATGTAGTCTTTAACTGCGTTGGATTGGTCTTATTCTACAAATTTCCGCTTATTTCTTCTTGTTGATTTCTTAACCATTCTTTCCAACTCCCGGTACCTTTCCTTCAGTCTGGTATAATCAGTTGACCAAGCACTGACTACGTTCATAGCCTCGTCATGCATTTCAAGCCATGTCACTTAATGGTATTTCTTGTGTTCAAAAATTGTTCCTCCTGTCTTCAAGCCATGCTTGCCACAACGGTCAATCAAGAGATCCATTTTCATTTTGCTCTTTTAACCCATAGGGACGCATTATTGTTTCATTAATTTTAAAGTTTAAGAGGATTTAGCTATATAAAGCTTATTTAAACTTTTTTGATTTTCCTGCAATTTCTTTGTATAGAAAATTTGTTCACTGCAAATTAGTAGGAGATCGGTTCATAGGGGGGTTGGTAGGTTGAATT